TCCTGAATGCTAGGATAAAAGGCATGTGCCACTACTGCCTGACTTTTATGTTTAACATGGTGGCTGGCTTTTTCCTCTAATCTTCGGATAAGCTTCATTAGGGTACACACTATATTAGGGGATACAATATATCACCACACTATAGTGTCATGCAAACTTCCAAAGGAACAACCAACAATCTTACTCAAGTATGGCACCTCTGAACCACAATGACAAATATGACATGACAACCCTAAGGAACTGATGTGGCATGGCGATCTTGGGAGTCACAACAGTAATAAACATGATAAAATGGATGAGGGGAAAGGCCATGAGGTCTCAACCCAAAATACAGAACTTCAGGCAACTAAGAAATTCTAAGAGTGTGAGAACTGATTTTCCCCATGGAAGAACACAGGAATTGGTTATCCAATTTTAAAGGGTCAGCTTTGAAAACATCTGTACAGGTAACATTATAATGACTGTGCAGGTTGTATTTATATATTTAGGAATATATATACATATACATATGTGTATATGTATACGTATATGTATGTAATAATAAATAATGAAAAAATAAAGATCATAATTTTGAAAAGGATCAAGGAGTGAAAATTATGCAGTTCTATTATAATCTCAAAAAATGAAAAAAATAAGTTTTTTAAAAGATACAGCAATTGAAATCAATTTTGAAAACTATTTAAGAAGTGAAAAATGCTCACCATGGATGGAAAAACTCATCTATAGTGACACAAACACAGAAAAACGTCCAAGCCTTGGATTCATGTACCTGTGAACTTGCAAACTGTAGTCTAGTATTCTATTGGCTGCCATGGTCATTGATGTTTAAATTTTTCTTATTTATATTTCTGAACAATGTACAACTTAAAAACATACATATTCAATGTGCAATAGCAAAGTGTTTTAACAAAAAAAAACAAATGATACTTATTCATTCACCCATCTCTAGTCTCCTTAATGTTTGGAACTACATTATTACTTTTAGTGTAATGGATGCATTTTTTTTTCTCTAAAGGGCTCTGGAAGCAGCTGTCTGAGCTAGTCCCAAGTGGATATGGGCTTGGTGGAGCCTGGAGCCAACCACGATGTGTCTACATTATTGAATATGCAAATGCATTTTAACTCGTATGCTTTTGTTTCCTTGGTTTAACGAAATTAGCAGGAAATTGAATTTAAGGAGCTAATAAAGATGTTCAAAGGTGTGGTGGCTTCTCATGGAAAGAGGAGTCTATGCTAGACCCTGTTTGTTAGGAAACTTGTTCATTTCAGTACTGAACAAAATACGTTGACAGGACTGGCGAGAGACAGGACTGGAGAACAATCCACGCTATACAACTGGATAAAGGAATTACTGCTTTGATATTTCTTCCACAGCTCCTGAAGCATCTTTGGAATCAAGGTCAGAAATTGTGCACTAAAAACAAAAACAAGAGCAACAGACTTTGTCCGTATAGGAGCATCCCTGTGATAAGGAGCAGCAGTGAGATTGTAGAAACAGTGTCTCGCAGTTTTTGTACGCTAATTAGATGAGAAGAAACTAATGCAGTTTGTGATAAGTAACTCCTGAACTGGACCACAGTTTCTCTTGCTAGGCTCTCAAAGGCTCCCCAAAGGCTTTCCAATACATTTAAAATAATTACACAGTTCAGGCATTAACACCTAATCTCGTGACCACATTTTTCATCAGTCCAATTTTCTAAATATTAAACTGCACTTTTTTTTCTTGTAAATCTCCCTGCTCCTCTGACTGTTGCACTTACATTCTCATTTCTATAATTTATTGTTTTTATTTATCTCTGTTGTTCCCGAATGAGAGAACAAAATATCTCAAATGTGCTTATCAAAGGAACCACTACCATCATACATATATTCTGTACTCCACTGTTGAGTCATTTTTTTTTTATCAGTTTGGCCTAGATATTTTTGATTTTCAGGGTTTTTTCTTTATTTATAAATGTCATCTACTACTTCTTATTGTCTTTGTTTTGAATTACAAAAAATGAAATTAGAGAAAATTTTACAGCCATCATGTTAAATCATCATGATGTCATTTAATATCCTCTAGATAAATGAACGTAAAAACTCAATAAAAATATCAAATAAATTCATTTTAATTTAATTCACAACTCCTTTCTTGCTTGCAGATTTATTACTATTCCTGTATTTGTAGAATCTGAATGTTCTACTATGATTGCAGTAATAACCTTCCTCCTCTGCATTCCACTCGGGAGTCCCAGCCATATGGGAACTATGGGAACCACAGTATGAGCATCGGAACGCTCAGTGTTACCTAGTCTTCCTCTGTCTATAGCATACATAGAAATTAAATGTGCCCGAATTATATCTACACAGACTTCTATTAAGTGAAGTATCGTCTAGAAAATAGTGACAATTCTTAAACAAATACAGAAAAATTCACTGGAACCAAGGAGGCAAGAAATAGCAGAAAGATGTTCATGTAAGAGGATAACAAAGGGCTATATGTAATCATTAAGCAAGATAAACATGGCTTGGAAAAAGAGAGGTTTTAAATGAAAATTTTGATTTCTCATGCTCCACAGAGATCAATCTTTTAGGACATTTCTATGAACACTGGATGTCAAGTGATACCATTCATTATGTTTTCAAAAGTGAAACATAGAGTCAAGGATGTAGGGGAGGGGACAATCAGCTTTGAGAAATTACGTTTTTGTAAAAGTTGTACGGTATCCTCCTTTGTAACCTTTCAATACCCTTTCTTCTCATAGCAAAATCTAAAAACAATATAAAATTAGAGTAATTTCTCAGATTTTAATTTGATAGGCTCATTTTGTTATCCTGCCCCATCCCCTAGCATGGCTATTTAAAAACCATTTCAAATCCATTGTGAAGTTTCTCACTTGGGAAGAATAGATGCTTTGTAATTTATAAAAGGAAAGTTTCTCCCCCAAAGAACAATCACATCCCATTGTTCATAACATTTATAATCATGTATGGTTATGTACAAAAATCTTGAAAAATACTGCTTTTCTGGGGTTATTTAAAGCTGCCAACAGTCCAAGCTTATTAAGATCAAGGCTAAATCACTGCGGTGAGCAAAGTCTCAAAGATTTAGCTGAATTGTCACAGGCATACGAATAAATTAAAATGTAAAACTTGAACTCGAAGGTATTTAAATGATCAAACTGAAGCATTAATTCAGGATAAACCTAATCTTAGCAGCACAGGAATAAGGCTTTGCTAGCACGACTCTTTCAAGAATCAATAAATGTTAGTGAACAATATTAAGTGATGTGTTTAACAGTCCAAGTATTAATACACTCAACCTGCTTTTCTCAAAACAGAAAATTTGATCACATTGGATAAAAGCAGCCAGATATATTACAGCATAAATTAAATTCCTCTTTTACAAAGACTTTTCACTGAATAATCTTAAAGATCAAAATTAATTTTTCTCAATTAAGAAAATGATTTCATTTGACTATTATACTATTTCAACACAAATTCTTAATATTATAAAATCTAAATAGGCCATCCAGACTTTGGAAATTCCTTGTAATATTATACCCTGGTAAAAAGATTCATTACTAATGGTTAGTCATTTTTGTAGTATTAACACACAGGTTTACATTGTAAAGAGGAAACCGAAGGCACACTTTTCTGTGGCATTCATTTGAAAACAAAAAGATGTAACATATTTGGAAATGTGTATTAAATACTTTCATGATATTTATACTTGAATGTTAAGAAATTCTATATTTATTTGATGTCATTTTATAACTGTTATTTCATAAAAAATAGCAATTTTTGTTTGATTGTGGTCTATATTTTACTTTGTTTCTCATTAAAATGCATTAGACTGTAATTACCTTGTGTCAGGGTTTCTAATTGTTCCATTTTTCATAGCATACAAACAAAGTCACCCACGGACAAAATAAAACAGGACTGTCAAGAAAAACACAAATAGCATCATCCTCTCCTCCCCACTCTTAACTTGGGTGCAGTAACCCCACCTGTGTAAAGCTCAGTCTCCACTTTTTGGTACACTTATTACTTTGGCTATTGAAATTCAGTGCATATTTGTTCCTGGCACTAGAATCACTCCACTCTTCTCATACTTTATAGAACCTCTAAGGTGACATTGCCTTGCTCAGTCTCTTAAGTGTGTCCATTATGTCTGTTTCTCAGCCTATAAAAAGGGAGTTAGAGTTGCATACATCTGGAACTCTGACATTTGTTCATTATTATGAAGACAACATCAGAGAGAGGTACTCTTGGTCAGCTCATCCATGACACACCAGCTCTTTCATATCCTTGATTTCATAAGTGATATATACTATTCTAGTTATCAAATCTGTTGAATGTGATTGTATGCATTAATAAACACATTATGCAAATGGGAAAGATAAACCAATTAGTTTAATATGTACATTAAACTCATTGAAAATAAATAAATGCTAAATTATTCAGCAATGTATATATTAACTTATTAAAACTCTAATATATAAACTTAACAATTATTTGCTATTTCATCTAATGTTTATTGAATGTCCTAAACATTTTAATAGCAATGGATGAATAGACAGACAAATCCATGCTACTCTGAAGTGGCAATGAGGAATTATGAAGAAAATTATCTGTAAAACATAAACAATGGATTGCGTTTGAGTAAGTAAAACAAGTAAAGAAGACAGTCAATAATATTAAAAGAAATTACTTCACTTGGAGAGGAAAGGTAAATAATGTTCTAAATTTAAAAAAATAATGTGTATTAGTTATTTTTCTGTTGCTATGATAAAATACCACAACTAAGGAAATTTATAGAAGAAAGCCATCATTTTATTTTATGGTTACAAATGGTTAAAGTTGGTAATGGCAGGGCTGAAGCAGCAGGTATGATGTCATGAACAGGATAATGAGAGCTTATATCTTGAGCAATAAGCATGAACATAAAAAACAAACTGCAAGTAGGGGAGGCTTTTTAATCTCACCACATGTTCCCTGTGATATCCTTCCTCCAGCATAGGTGAATCTCCTAAACCCAACCAAAGGGCTCCATCAACTCAGGACTGAGTGTACAAGTGCCGGAGACTGTTGAGGACATTCCTCTTCCAAATCACCACAGAAAGTAAGTGAAGAAGACACACAGAAAACATTTTCCCTTACTAACGAAACGGTAGGTATAAAAGCCTGTGACAGAAGGAAATCTGGTGTGTTGAAGGTGTAAAACAGTGACCACTCTGATTAATATGAAAGAAAAAAAAGTTCATAGGAAAATAAGAGAACAAAGATACACTGCTTATGTTTGTTTGCAAATTAAAAGAATTTATCTTCTAAATAGCTAAAGCCCATAGAGGTTCATTGACCTGTTCTGAATTACTTTTAAATAAGGTCACTTTGAGTAGTTTTAGAGAAACCAATATAAGAAATATTGCTTTCAAAGTTATTGCAGTATTTCTTCCTTCAGAATGATACCAGGATGTTGGAAGAAACAGTTCCACATGATAAGATCTTGTCTATCTTTAGATGACAGACCAGATTTGTGTATAAATTAAATGTGGCCTATTGCCGAAAACAGGAAACCAAGAATTATTCCAAGGCTTTGGACCAAGTAACTTCCAAATATAAAGAGGGGAATCTGAGTAGCTGAAGGTTCTGGGGAGATATGGAGTATAATGGAGAATGTTGGGTTGTGAGGTATATTAGTGATCTGGGTAAAGCATGGAAAATGTGATAGATATAGATATAGATATATAGATGTGGGAACTTAGATTGAGATACCAAAGGGTGAGAAACCTCTATATTTTGTTTATTGAGTAATTCAATGTACTATTTTTAAAAATTAGTACATATATTTTATCTAGTGTGTGTGTTTATATGCATGTAGCTTTATTTTAGCAGCAAGTTCATCAAATGATATTAGAATGCATATTAATGAAAACTACACATAAAACCAGACTGAACATTATGACAAGATTTAGAGATGAATGAGCATGAAGGAAAGGAATAGACACATAACATGATGAAAAATCCTTGAGTTGTAATTGTACACTGTAATAGACAAATACGTTATAAATATATATATATATATATATATATATATGTGTGTGTGTGTGTGTGTGTAATAGCATATTTGTATATATATTTACAATATGTTTAATATATATATATATATATTTACAATTTTTTTATGATGGAAATGCTTTTAACAATGGAAATAGAGGGTTGAGAGAATTTGCATGCTTTCCTGATTTGAAAGTGTAGGTTGAATGAAAATAAATTAAGAAATGAACTATGTGCTATAAAGGTCAAGAGAGGCAATGCCTCAGTCTTTCACTGGCAAGATTTAGCTGATAGACACAGGAATAGGAGGAAGAGGGACAGAGTTGGGTATGAGAATTTTTCTTGCTGTATAAGTTCTGGCTTCAACCTAATGTCTGTGTGAACATAGCAAACTCTTACATAAAGCAATTGCTGAGGAGCCTGCCATCCCTCCTGTGGTGGCACCAGGCTGTGAACATCAGAATATAGATGCTGCTATACAGTACTAAACCAAAATTTTACTGACCTGGTTCTTTCTGTCTCCATGGAGGTAACACTATGTTTGACAATTAAAGGCAAAAGATTAAAAATGATCATAATATATTGAAAATTTTGGGTTTCATTTTTTTTATTGACTAGTATGTTTATTCATTTTTTAAAATTTAATTTTATTTTATTTTACAATACAATTCAGTTCTACATATCAGCCATGGATTCCCTTGTTCTCCCCCCTCCTGCCCCCTCCCCTTCCCCCCAGCTAGCCCCCATTCCCACCTCCTCCAGGACAAAGCCTCCCCCAAGGACTGAGATCAACCTGGTAGACTCAGTCCAGGCAGGTCCAGTTCCTTCCTCCCAGGCCGAGCCAAGCGACCCTGTATAAGCCCCAGGTTTCAAACAGCCAACTCATGCAATTAGCACAAGACCCGGTCCCACTTCCTGGATGACTCCCAAACAGATCAAGCCAATCAACTGTCTCACCCACTCAGAGGGCCTGATCCAGTTGGTGACCCCTCAGCCGTTGGTTCATAGTTCATGTGTTTCCATTCGTTTGGCTATATGAGCAAGAATTGTTGAGACCAAGGTTGGATAAAGCACAGGGACAAATAGCCAAAACGAATGGGTTTCATTTTTGTTTATTTATTTGTGTGTATGTGTGTGCATGTGCATGCACTCACCATAGGACACATGTGAAAATCAGAGAACAACTTGAATAAGTCTGTCCTAGCCTTCTAACACATAGGTTCAAGGATCCACTCAGTTCATCTGGCTGAGTGGTTAGTGCCCCTATCTGATGATAAACCTCTAACCCTATTGGTTTTATTTATTATACAAGGTCTGTAATTTTACATTTTCAGGAGTAAATGCAAATATTATAAAACAGTAAAATCACAAAGAAAGACATTATAATGAGAAGAATAGACTTTAGTTGAAGTATTATTCTTCAAAGAAGAAATAGTCACTACACATGCTTTACTAAAGTGATTTACAAGCATATTAGAGTTACAGAGAAAAGTACAAGGAAAAAGACAAAACAATATTCAGTCTCCTTGGGAGAATCAAATTGGAGAAAAATTGTGTGTGTGTGTGTGTGTGTGTGTGTGTGTGCGTGTGTGTGTGTGTGTGTGTGTGTGAGAGAGAGAGAGAGAGAGAGAGAGAGAGAGAGAGAGAGAGAGAGAGAGAGAGAGAGAGAGAGAGAGAATTGAGCAGGAGAAGAAGAGACAGAGAGACAGACAGACAGAGACAGGGGAGGGGGGCCAGCCCTTTTTCTAGTCATCTGTAATGAGCACTTCTGTTATTAGGAATCAGCATTGTCTTGGTGTTTACTGAAGTGGAGAGAGCCAATTAAACAGCAGGGACTAGAGCCCAAATTACTTGACCATCTTCACCTTATGAAACTCCGGGGGAACAAGCAAGAAATTAGCTCAAAGAACAGAATATTGAACATCCAAACTACCATTGTTTGGAGAATTTTGCTGCCTGCCTAGAAAGTTTTTCCATGATGTACACAAAACACCCATTGTTGATTAACAAACATATTGAATTAATATCAGTTGACTCACCACAAAACCAGTAATATTAAGTATATTTATAACTTGTTCTATTTTTTTTATTTAAAAGAATAAACCACAAGGAATCGAATGCCAGAGATGGTCCTCAGGTGAAATTGCTAGTTAACGAGGTGTGGTGAATAGTTTCTTTAGCCAGAGTAAGAATCCGCTTCAGAGTGCTGGCTGTTTCAAATGAGCCACGCAATGATGAAATGAAGATAGGAAAAGACCCTTCTGAACAAGATTTGGGGACTCTGGGAATGCACTAAATGACATTATGCACATTTGCTTGATGAGACCATTTCGACATTTCCTAATTTCTACCACAATTTAACAGTTACAGCAGACCTGGTTTCATTGAAATTTGATGTGAGGTTAGTAAGGAATTCATTCTACCTGCACTAGACAAAGGATTAAATTACTCATTTTAACTTAAAGTAGCTGTGAATCTTATTACCTATCAACATTAAACATTTTTGTCTGTCTAAGAAGACTTTGTGAACCATTTCCCCATGAGGGGTTAAAAAGCAATGTTAGAAAATAAAGATAACGAATCCTCACTACAAATCATAAAATGACACCCAAAAAATTAAAGAATATTGTGTTTTAAGAGACTTTTGAGTTCAACATTTTCTCTGATAAGTATTTGATATTTGATGTTCTATGTCTAAATAATGTGTAACATCTCTAATTATATTATAATTTTAATTTATTTCTATTATATGCAGTAGAAAGTTTTAGTTTTATTAATCAACAAGAGAATACTTTATGTCAATAAGCACAAATAAAGCCAAATAATTGTGTCTTTGAATTTACATTTATTAAATATTTTGAAAACTGTTCTTTATTCCAGTTCTTGAGATGTATGGGTGACTTTTAAAATTTTCTTGCTTTATTAGTTTTAGAGATTTTTGAAATATAACATAAATTTGTATATGGGAAGTTTTCATTTTAACCAGGCAGAACAACACATGCCTTTAATCTCAGCACACCAGAGATAGAGGCAGGAAGATCTCTGTGAATTCCAGGCCAAATTGGTCTAAGTAGGAAGTTTCAAGCATGCCAAGGTTATACAGAGAGATGACAAAGCACTTAGCACTTTCTGATCTTGCGAAGGACCTGGGTTCAGTTCCCAGTATCCACTACCTTCAAGTCATTTCTGCTCCTGTAAGTAAGCCCTGACTCATAGTCCTGTAAGCAACCCCAAATAAACTCATTTATTCAGCAAGGTGGATGTTGGTGGTAGCCATAATTTGATCTGTTGCTGACACTTTACTTAATTTGACAGTTCTACACGTCTCCTAGGAATGTTGTCACACAATAACATAGCAGCTAAGAATTGTCTAGAACCCCATTTCCAGAGGGTCTGATACCCTCATCTGGACTCCACTGGCAGCAGCACACATGCATTGAACATACAAAACACTCACACTCACAAAAGCTAAGTACAAATAAAATTGTAAGTTGTAATTTGATATAAATTCATAATTTGCAAACCATACCCAGCAGATGCCAACAAACTGCATTAATATATGAACTCTGTTAAGAATACTTCATTTTCAAAAAAGAACAGCATAACATTCTTCTGGCAAGTTGCAAAAGGAAGTTATTCTCCTTATTCTCTTTGGAGAGTGTGTCTATAACAGTCTATAGATCTTTGCTCATGAGTTAAAAAAGGTTTTTCATATAAAAAATTGAGCATGTAAGTCTTAGAAATACAAGTTAAAACAAGAAATTTCAATGTAAGCATTTAAGAATTTCTAAAATCTTATATTGGTTCATTACTTTCTCCTGACTCAGCTCTAACATATTATCAGTTTTATGGTTCAGAATCTCATCAGCAACTCATTGTCTATCCTCACTAGTTTATCATCATAGCATCATTTAAAGAATTTAAACATTTTCTCACCAACCCACTTACCAGACAGAATTTGTTTTATAAATAACAATATACCTTATGCTAATATAATTTAGAAATAATGTGTCCCTCACAAAACTCATGTGTTAATGTCTTTGTTGGCAGCTGATGGGGTTTTCAAGAATAGTGGATCATGCTCATTAATGGGTTCGTATCTGACTTGACTGCTATGAGTTAGAGAGTGGTTAAGAATGTGGGTCACTTGGGAGAGACCACGGAGGGTATAACATTTCCAGATTTTCCCCCACTGTCTGCCCTTGTCCAGTGTGAGGTAAGTCTCTCAGCTCCACTGTAAGCTTCCTTTCTCTTCATGTCCTCCGTGGAAACACAAGATCATGGATTGGAACCACTGAAACTATTAGCCAAACATGGCATCCCATAAATTTCTTAGGTAAACATTTTTTTTTACAGTGACAAAAAAGTAACTCTCATAAGGATAAATAAAATAATACCCAAATAGTGTAATTTTTTTAAAATATGTTTTTACCCTGGTTGGTATCTGCTTGATTATTAATCTTTAAAATTATTTTTGATAACAAAAATGGAATTAATAATTAAACCTAGAAAATAGATTTACACTGGAACTGTCCAGACAATGGCAGACCTTGCTTTTAAAGGTCTCAGATAAGTTGTCATGGCAGAAATCAGAATTTAAGGCAGATAGCTATAAGGGAATTATTTTTCCTTATTAAGAGTTAAATGTGGAATTAGTATATGTGTAGCATGAAGATGTGGCATGAATCTTAGATAGTCTTGTTAATAAAATAAAACCTGGGGCCAGTTATTGGGGTGATAGATGCAGAACAAGCCACAGCTATCTCACCTTGCCAATTCCTCAGCTGGTCCTGTTTCCTCAGACTTGGAAGCCTCTGAGTCCTCATCCAGAATTAATCTCAGCTGAGCTGTGCTGCTCCAAAGCCTGAAAGCTTGACCAGGCCAAATGCTTAACCAGCCAAATGCTTCTAGTTCCTGGTCCTCACACCTTATATACCTTTCTGCCTTCTACCATCACTCCCTGGGATTAAAGGCTCACTCCCTGGGATTAAAGGCATGTGTCACCATGCCTGGCTCTTTCCAATGTGGCCTTGAACACATGGATTTCTGCCTCTGGAACGCTAGGATTAAAGGCGTGTGCTACCACTGCCTATCCTTTATGTTTAATATTGTGGCTGTTCTGTCTCTGACCCCAGGTAAGTTTATTAGCATGCACAATATTTGGGGGAATACAATACCACAGTATATGGGAGCCCATGATGTTTAAGTTTTATCTTGGGGCTGGAGAGATGGCTCAGTGGTTTAGAGCACTGGCTACTCTTTCAGGGGAGAAGGGTTCAATTCCCACCACCCACATGGCAGCTCATAACTGTCTGTAACTCCAGTTCCAGGGGATTTATAAACACCCTCACACCAATACACATAAAATATAATTTCAAATTGAGCAAAAATTAAGGAAATAGTAATTTTCAGATAATGTTCTTTTTCTTTTTTTCCCCAAGGAGTTGAGTTGTGGGATTATTGGGAACAAGCAGAAGTTTACAGTCATTTGGAGAAGGGAGTATTGAATCACTGATTCTCCACAACACAGCAAGGAACTGTCCTATTCATCCTGACCCTGAATTCCATCCAATGCTATCACTAGAGAGAAAAATAAAATCTTTTCAAAACCACCAACTAGTTTTCAAGCAAGTTGTTCATATATATATATGTGTGTGTGTGTGTGTGTGTATGCATAGTGTATTATAATTGTTACATTTATTACAAATTTATATGTGTAGAGACAGATTTTGAATATATATTTTGATGAGTTCCCTTTTATAATCTATGGCTTCTTTTTCAAAATGTTTAACCAAATCTAAAATAAGATCAAAGAGAGGATCATTAAAACCTACATACAAAATCTCTTTCTTAAGATTATCATGACACAGACACAGGATTGTTTTTCAGAATGATCTAGTTTTTAAGCACATCTTAGACCTGAACAATAGAAAGGGGTGTGGATGTTGGGAAAATGTGTACCAGAATTTCCCAGTATTTTTTTTTATTAACTGCAGACAATTAAAATAATCCAAAACATGCTTGAATGATTATTATTGTAGTACATCAGGGATTGTATATCATAGTGAAAGAATTTGTGCTTAAGAGCCTTTCTATATCATGAGTCTCATCACTAGAATCATAAAGCTTCAGAGACTGAGTGATCCATAAAATTCATCCTTCCTAGAATGCCACCCTTTCCAGTCTCTTTATGATGTACTAATTTACTGGACAATATACTAGAAGACGATTGCTCTAATTCACCTTAATAACTCCAATAATGAGAACTCATTACCCACTAAGGAAGCCTCTTTAATTTACAGACAGTTAATGTGTGCTGTGGATAATTTGGAAAGTCTGTATGTGTATATGAGTGTGTGTGTGTGTGTGTGTGTGTGTGTGTGTGTGTGTGTGTGTGTATGTGTGCATGTGTGTGTGTGTATATTTGTGCATTCATGCAATATTTGACCCTATTTCTTTAAGTATCTTAATATTCTATACCGTCCTCATGTTACTTCCATTCATATAACTTGACTTGTTTATTTATTGAAATGACGAAATACTATCCAAATAATTAATATGTCTTGATATAAAATCAAGAGTTTGCTTTTGGGGGGCGGAGGGAGGGTTTAAAGGCTCCAGGAATTATTAAAAACCTTTACAGTGTAAATGAGAAATTTAAGTGACATTTCTAGCTTCGGAAGACCTGATCACTATTCCTAGTCCTTAGGAAAGAACAGTATGAAAATGAAGAATACTTTGATGTTAATATGAGGCCCTGAGGTATTCAGCTATATCCAAGTCCAGGGTTTTTGTTATGAAATACATAAACAATCTGAAAACTGGGAAATCTTGAGTAATCTAAATACAGTAAAAAGAAATGCTCTTTCATTTCAATCAAGATTGAAATTTTAAGAATCTAGATCTCCAATCTCCCTAGAAAAAGAAAAAAAGTGAAGCATGCAGATTGTGTTCATGACATGAAGAGAATATATGAACACAGAAATTTGGTAAGAGTTATGGACTTGGCTGAAGCCTGGGTTGGGATTTATGATCCTGAAATCAAAGGGAGATCAATCACTAAAAGTACTGTGTCTAATATTCACACCCATGTGTTTCGACATGCTTCAGATGGATCAGAAAATATGGATATTGTCAGGTTAGTAACACACATGGGTAAAACTTTTAAAACATAGTGTAGATATTGCAAGCATGTCATACATAGTTGTATTGAATGAGGTTTATAAAATAAAGAAATGGGGAAAATTAGTCCTTTCCATTCCCTGGAAAATATTGGGTAAATGACTTGTAATTAACTTTGAAATTAAAATAATTTAAAATTGGGTCACCAAAACATGTTACTATAAAACTAACACATTCCATAATGGAAGAGTATAATTTTAGGTTTTTTATTAAGAACATTTGAAATGATATAGTTTATGACTTGAATATACGTGTATATTGACATGCTACTGTAATGAATTCCAGAATCTTTCTAGAAAATGCTTTCTTCCATAAAGCAATAAATGGTGAAGGAGAATGGATTGGAGGATAACCTGCACCTGTGTTCTCTAGAGGGTATAAGCTTTATATAGCTATATATCTATACAATTTTATTTTATGCATATATATACAATTGTGTATTTTAATTCATATAACTTGACTTGTTTATATATATATATATATATATATATATGTTCACAAGAGCAGAGACTTAGAAAGATATCATTTCATAGGAATTTAACATGAACTGCCAGACTAGCAATTTCTGTATAGCAATAGTGCTGTTCACTTATTATGAGGACAATCATGAGTGTATGCATATTATTATGAGGGAATTGTGAAACTATGTATATGGAAGTATGTCAGGCATGCACAAAACACTGACTCCTCATTTGTTACATGTAAAGGTCATGTAAAGCAATTATACTCAGTTTAAGCAATAATGAAAAAGTCATCATGAATGTGTTTGAAACTTATAGTTTCAAAAGTTAATATCTTAAAGTTTCATTACTTTTACTATGCTGTAGCATTTTTGGTGAATTAATTTTCACTGGATACTAACACAGAAACAGATATTGTAACAAATGGACAAACATTCTAGCACAGGCATGGATGTTCTAACAATAGACAGATGTTCTAACATATTGAATGATTATCTAATATGTGGACAGATGTTCTAACACACAGACAGATGTTGTAATGTATGGATAGATGTAACATATGAACAGGCATTCTATAACATGCACAGATGTTTTAACACACAATCAGATGTTCTAACACATGGAAAGTTTTTCGAGAAAAAAAATCACAGTTTCTGAAATCTTTGGTGAGCTAATAAAATGAGTAATTTTATCAGCCTTGATTTCATTCAGGTTAATAAAGAAATAATACCCTTAAGATAAAACCTGGCTGCTTATCATTGAGTTACTCTTCCAGTGTTGAATTTTTCGTTTTCTTTTTTAAAAACAAGGAAACTTTGCCTAAAATATACCTATATACTATGACTTATTCAAAGTTTAGTGAATCTTCCTATTCAGGAAAAAAATGAGTAAAAATAAATTAGTGCTAATATTTATTTATTTAATATTTCTTTTCTACTTTAATTATTCTTTATTAAATTATTTATAATGCTGGAGACAGAATACAGGCAAGCATGCTAGCAATGAGCTTCACTTCTCCTTAGTCCACATTGAGGCTAGTCTTGAGAGTCAAAGGACATTAAAAGGAAAGGATGCACACTCCAGAATGAGCTTTTGAATATGACTTTCATCACATCATAAAGCACATGGCCATGGACAAATTTTAACCCCTGATTACAATTTTTTTATATATGAATCAAAATAATAAACCAGTGAAGTTCTTGGGAGACATATATGGTGTTTTAAATAAGAACGGTCCCCATAGACTCACATATTTGAATGCTTAGTCATCAGGAAGTGACACTATTTGAAAAGATCAAAAGACTTAGGAGTTGTGGTATGGTGGTATTTTATTTGTACTGAAATGTGATTTTAATTGTATGTTAATAAATAAAGTTGCCCGTGGGTCAGAGCTATTAGAGCTATAGCAAGAGCATGGCGGTGGTGGCGCACACCTTTAATCCCAGCACTTGGTAGACAGAGCTAGGTAGATCTCTGTGTGTAAAAGGATACAGCCAGCATTGGAGACATACGTCTTTAATCTCAATCCCAACCATAGAAGACCTGGAAGTCTCTATAGACAGGCAGTGACGAGGCAGTCATGTGTTTGGGTTTACAACCAATGAGAAGGCAGAACAGAAAGACTATATAAAGACAAACACACAGGAAGTAGGTCCTTTTCGGAGAGCTCTCTTGACTGAAGAGGGTCGCTGAAGCAGGAAGGGTAAGACTCTTAGCTCTGACCTCTTGGCTTTCTTCTCTGAATCAGCTCTGTGTTTCTTATTTGATAAGACGGTTGGTTACATCTACATTGTGGCATTGTTGGTGAAAGCAGTTCATTGCATGTAGGCGTTGAGGCTTCAAAAGTCCATCTGACACTGACTCTCTCTCTCTCTCTCTCTCTCTCTCTCTCTCTCTCTCTCTCTGCCTTTAGATCAGGATGTAGCTCTCAGCCGTTCCTCTGGCATCATGCTTGCCATGCCCAACACCATGCTCCCTGCCAAGATGATAATAGACTAAGCTCCTGAAACTGTTAGAGAGACCACGATTAAATGCTTTTCTTTGTAAGAGTTGCAGTGGTCATGCTGTCTCTTCCCAGCAATAAAACAGTGACAAAGACATGAAACAATAATCCATACAAGCTACTTTCCATGGATTTAAGTATTGTATGTAAGGTGAAAAATATTTATGTTTGGATGAGCAAGGTGTATTTAGAATTGCAGTTAAAATGCTAAAGGCCTATATAATCTGTCACACATGAGCACTGACAAAAATGTTCTCTAAATATTGAAATAAGGGAGCTAGAAAGATAGATTATTTATTAATACCTATATTATACTTCCAGAAGTTCACAGAAACCAACCCCAATATCTAACCACTTATTTAACACTGACTCCAAAGTCTGACCTCCACTTTCATGTGCACTCATGGGTGCAACCCTTTAACATACACATTCATATGCATAATTTTAAAAATAGATCTTAAATGATACTGAAATTAAAAGAAAAACACTTAGAATCATGGCCTATGGTGATTATGAATGGAAAAATAATTCTTCATAACTGGTTAACTGAAATAACAGTTTGGTTTTAAAATTTTAGTGGCATATATACATTGGTGTTAATCAGCTTAAGACTGGTTAACAAGCAGAAGACCGTGTTGGTATTGGAAACCTAAATAACTACTCAGTGTTAATGAAATCATGGTTTTTGAGGGAGAATCTACAACCACTTATTTACTAAACCAACATAATCTTTAACAACCATCTCTAAACATTTGTTCTTAAACCCACAGGTAAGTATGAATTAGTGAATCAAAACACAGAGTTATGGAGCCCAGAGCCAATAGATACATCTACAAAATTCTCCAGCACCTGAGGCTCAGAACAGTGTGGATAGAGGGATAAAAATATTCTAAGAGCCAGAGGAACAGGGAGTTTGATGTCAGGTTGAGCCTCCAGGATTGTCAGAA